ACCTGATCCACGGCCTTTAAAATTACGCACATTACATTCTCCCGCTTTTTTTAACCGGGAGAATCCCTAAAAAGCTTCCACCTATACTGACTTTCATACAATGATTATGCAAATATTACGGAGTGGTTCTGTTGTTTATTTAAAGGGCACCTCCGTTTTGTCATTAATCAATCTGACACCACCGAGAACACACACATGCACACTTGCCCACAATTTCTTATTTGGCTAAAAAAAAAACAAACCCAAAAAACAATTAAAAATAAATAAATAAAATAAAGCACTTTGTTTTGTTTCTGCTGTTGCAGAATATGATAAATCCAGTTAAGATTGCATCTAGGACGTGACCCTTAAAGGCCCCCGCGGCTGAAAACTGGCAGACCACCCTACAGCCGTAAGTTAGAAACCTTAAAAAAAGAAGAAGATTTTACTACTCAAGAAGCTTCATTAAAACTCGTTCATGAGCTTTATGGATAAAACCGGTTATTGCCTCCGTTTGTCTGGAATTAGTCGCAAGCTGTCAGGACACCCAGCCCCTCTTCCCCTTTCTCCAACCTCCGTTTTATATAAAATAGATTTGGGAGAAGCGCCATTTTCTCTCCAAACCGTGCGCAATGAGACGCACAAGAAAGCCCGTTGGAGGAGTGCCATTAAAAAGAAAGGGGGAGAGAGAGAGCGCGAGAGAGGGAGAGAGAGTGAGAGAGCGAGGGAGGTTAAACACTATCGGGGAAAAGAGAGCAGAGTTGGGAAAAGCTCCTTCGTACGCAGCAAATGACAAGTAGCAGCGCGACAGGCGACACAACACTGTAAACCACGTACAGTAAAAACAAACCGGAGGCGCGCTACACCGGGGGGGAAGGGAAAAAAGCAAAGCGCCGGAGCCTTAAAACGGCGATTTTCTTCCATACCTGTGTCAAGCAGTAAGGGGAGTACATGTTGGAGTCTACAGATGAAATTTGGAGTTGCTGATAACAAAGTTGGATGGAGGTTCGCTGCGGTGCCGCATTGCAAAGCCGCTGTGGCTCAGTCCAGGCTGTAACCCCGCCTCACTTGCAGTGAAAGCTCCGCGCTAACTTTAGAGGAAAGTTTTTGCTGCTCTCTCTCCCTGCCTCCCTCCCTCCCTCCCTCTTTCTCTCTAACGCTCCCTCTCTCTCACTCACTCTCTCTCTTCCTCCCCGCTTTTCTATCAGATCGTCACAAACCTAACATTATGTTTGAAACGATCGTTATTTAAACGTTTCTTTTCTTTTCTCTTTTCTTTTCTTTTTTTTCTTTAAGAATCAACGCTTCGCTAAATCCCCCAAAGAAAAGTCGCTTGAGCTACAGTATCCCTGCAGAACTACAGGGGCTCAATGTGCGCCTGTGGTACTGTGCGGGCAGAGCAGTCAGCTCGTTGTATTTTAAAGATAGTAATACTTTTGTAAATGTGGCATGGGATTTCGCTTATATTTTACTACATGATTTAAACACTTCGGAAGCAGAAATCTAAGCTTTTAGTTCTGTTAAATAATGTTTTTTATCTATCTATCTATCTATCTATCTATCTATCTATCTATCTATCTATCTATCTATCTATCTATCTATCTATCTATCTATCTATCTATCTATCTATGTTTGCAGTCTTTTGGTCATGTAAAAAAAACGGAATCTTTTTTTGGTGCAGGGATATTTACTTTGACAAAACTGTCTTAAAAATCTTTGCCAATCACTTGTGTTTGCCAGAGCAAACACAAGTGATTGAGGTGGCAGATTTCCTCAAAAAGATCCCTTTTCTGCTTTCATATCCTTTGCTCTTATGAAGAATGCAGAAGCAAACCCAAGTGTAACCAAAATAGAAAGACCAAAAAAAAAGAAGAAAGTTTTAAATTTACAGCTCAGATTATGCTGTGGTCCTTTGTCAGCCAGTCATCTGGATGGTGGCACAAAGCTTTCTGTGTACAAGCTATTTAAATGTCTTACAAGTTTGTTGAAGGGGGCCCGATTGTTAACTTGACTATGTGTTACTGTAAAGTAAACGTGCGCGGTAGGGTCGGCTTTTCATACTGCTGAAACATCTCATTAAATCTGGACCGCCTATTTTTATTTAATGCATTTTACAAGGTGTCAGAGCTCAACATGAGCCCTGACTCTGCAGCTCCGCTTTAGCTTGAGATGCTGCGTGCCGCTCATTTTAACTAAAGAGCTCATCATCTGAAAGTTATAACCAGACTTAAATATTTACAATGGCAGGCGTATTCATGAACCTAAACAAGTCCAAAATTATTACAGCAAGTTGTAAATTCTGCTGTCTAAGAGTCATTTTTTTCAGCCATGATACATTTTGCTTTGCTATTTCTGCTTTTGTTTTTAACTGAATCCAAGTCATATTCCAGTATACGGTATATGTTTATGTCGACAAAAGATACCTGAACTTGTGCAAAGTGCTCTAAACCGGTCTCATTGTGCCTCTATTGTATGGAAGCAATACACTCTGGTTCTAATCAGGCTTGGCTTTATCCTCACCCGCTCCCTGCTCCTCAGCCTAATCAAACTCATATATGCAGGCAGAGTGCCTGCAATTATACATAAGCCTCTGCCTTGTGCATGTGTGTGTAAGAGTGTGTGTGTGTAAGAGTGTGTGTGTGTGAGAAGAGAGAGAGCGAGCATTAGTGAGAAGAGAGAGAGCGAGCATTAGTATTTGGAAGCATGCGTGTGCCTGTGTGTGAATACAATTCTATATGTGCAAGTCTCCGTGTGCGTATGTGTTCCAGTTGTGCAAAAGTTTTTGCTCCCACCCACATGTGTGCGCAAGGGTGCGGTTTTGGGGGTTGAAGTCACCCTCGTGCTTGGATGCCAAGTTTTTCTGGGGGGGGATGAAGCTGTGCAACTTTACGAGACCTCAGCCTATGTAGCATACATAGAAACCTACACCACAAACGCACATGCATATAGTGTACAGTAGAGACAGACACACACACACTCACAGTTTCAGTGCATTCATGAACACAAATGTCTGTTGGTCAAAGATATATTGGCACAAACAACCAGAAAAAGAATTTCACCCAGAAGAAAAAGAGAGAAAAATCTAAATTGAAGTGAAAGAAAGTAAAACATATTGAGGTGTAGTGTTCTTTTCCCAAAGTCTCTCCTCTTTCCAAACCACACCCCACCACGGCACAGGCCCAAACCCCAAAGCTTTTGTCCGCTCTCTCGCTTTCCCTCTTTTTCTTTCTGTCTACCCCATTTTTTCTCTTTCTCAGTGGGTCTTTTTAGTGTCACTTTCTCCTTTTCTGTCTCATAATCTTCAGCTATTCTCCCTTTCTTTAGTTTCTTTCTTTCTTTTTTTTGCTGTCCTCATCACACACACACTCTCCCTTTCTGCTGCCTGATTTTACTGGTTGTCTTTGTTTCTGGCTTCAGTCTGACATTAGGTGTCCATCTCAGTATTCAACACAGGCACTTGGCTGCAACAAACAAACTATAGCAACCGACCGCAGAAGTTACAAAACACTGACGCTTGGGCTTTCTTTCCAAACTCTCTGCCTATAATCAAACAGTCAGGTCTCAACATCACCTTTGAAAGCCCCTCGAGCGCACAGGGATCTAGTGGTTTCTGAGACTACGCTTGCCATTAAAAAGCACATGAGAAAACCATATGGCGTGCCTAAAGTTAGCATGTTGCGGTCTCCCATTGACACACAGCACTACTCATATCCTTGTTGTTTACCAATGCCTGTGGCTAGGCCATTAAATATTGAATGTGATGTAGCATACTGATACTGCCATTAGCATGCTAAATGTGTGAGACAGGTGGTTGAGGCTGCCTTTCAAAAGGCAGGAAATATGTGAACAGAATATTGTGCAACTGTACCGTTTACTACGGCATACAGTGTAAATATTGTTTGAGTAAGCTGTTTACGTCTGCCTGCGAAGCAGCATGCCAGTCAAATGCATACAGGCATATGCAGTCAGAAAGACATGGCTGACCGGCCGCCACGGCTAACAAGCATATCATATACAGTGTGGATCCCAGAGACTATGGATCTGTTTGTGAGTGTGTATGCAGAGCACTGTGTTAGGCCTGCTGCTTTTGAAAAAAATGTGTTTACTATATGTCATACTCTGACGGCTTTGGATTTGTGCATTTTTACCATATTTGTATTCAGCTGTAATAAAGACGTATAGATTTATTTTGCTGGGATTATGTCATAATTAGTTTGTTTTAAAAGTGGAAAATGGAACAAGTCATATTGAAGCGTGTAGGCCAAAAGAACAATTTTCCAGGCAGTCTAGCAGTTATCGCCAAACTCATTCTGAAAGCTGATTTTTTTTGGGGGGGGGGAAATATTTGTGAAAATTACCATATGTATAACATGTAACCCAGGCAGTATCCTCCAGAAAAATTTCACTTTTATAACGTCAAGTATATTTTTCTTTGCTTTAACTGGCTTCTAACTTTTGCCCTGCACGTGACGCGTGTCCTCCACATGAATCTGCAACAAAACCAATTTTCTGCCAAGCCTAAATAATCCCTTATAAAAATACATGTCACGGAAAAGTTGACATTTTTAGGAAACATAGTGTTTTTGCAGGGCACTTTTGCCACATGTCAGCGCAACTGACAGATGAACTGAGAACATTCATGAAGACGTGTGGGAATTTTTTTGTGTGTGCGTGTGTGCGGAGGAAATGGACATATGAGCGAGCTAATAGCACAACGTCAACACAAAATGTGGATGTATTTTCTGAACACATTAATGGAACCCTAGAAACAAACATTCATCATGGCAAGAATGAAGGTAGCATAGTGTTTCCTATGCTGTGGTCGGACCATGTCAAATGAATGCACTAATGAGGCTTTTGTACTTTAAAAAAGTCCTCCCCCCTACAAAAGAAAAACAGAGAGGGACTGGGTTCCTTTTTTGTTTTTTTGTGTCCAGGAAATATATCTTGGGACATCAGTGCAATTAAAAGGACAGATACAGAGAGCTTGCAGTGTGTATGTATTTTGGGGATGTGTATACCCTATATGTATCAGACACGAGGAAACATTCAGGCATCCCTGGGCCTCTAGTGGGATCGTCGTTCACCAGGTAGGTGTCAGTAGCCTGAAAAACAGAGAAATAGTTATTCAGTTAAAATTGTTTCCATGTAGCTGAAAAGTCATGCTGCGAAATGTGGAACAAATACAGCACAGATTTTAGCCCAGCATATATTTTATATCATTTTAATATTTATTAAATTAAATATTATAATTGGATTTCGTTGCTCTTTAATAACATATAGTATATTTAAGAAGTATTGCAACATTTAAAGCAATCTCACAACACTCTGTTAATTTGTTTAAACCAGTGTAATTTAGATTGTGGCAAAACGAAATTGTGATTTTCCTTCCCTCCTCTTTGTGAGACGTAACCCTAAAATGTACCCGCTCCGTGTGAAACAGTCTTTTAACCCCAACTGGTTTCATTTCTCCACAGAAGCTCCACAACACTTGCACTATAAATCCCCAGTCATATTGTCTGTAAGTACAAGGGTGTATGCATGCATATGTGTGTAGGTGTGCATTCAGGGAGCTCCATTTGTATTCTAAGTCAAGCAGGCAGGCGGGCAGGCAGGGTTCTGGCAGGGCCCGGAGCTGTGAAATAGGCTCTCCTTGCAGTTCTGCAGTTGATTGGATCAACCTATCCCACTCTACTTAGCCGAAGGGAGCCCAAATCCCACAGCCGCTGTGCCGTTCTGTGAAATCCTATTTCATTTCACAACTTTAACGGATAAAAAAGCATGCACACGCGCTTGTGCCAGCCCAAGACCCCATGCCACATTTATTCAGCGAACAGGAGCAGAGAGAAAACACTGCATGTGTGTGGAAATGCCGAAATGCACACGCATATAGTCTAACCCTCTTGAAAATATAATCGCCCATATGCATATACATTTTTTCCACACCCATGTTCACTCTGCCTCACGCGCAAACACACTGCAACACGTACCAGCGCACACACACACACCGATATACACGTGCATGCCACTTACGCAGACACACAGACACAAACCCCATAATAAGAGCCAGACGTTGGCAGACCACACAGCCCTGAGTTGTGGTGAAAACAAAGGCTATTCATATCCTTCGCAATGAGAGGTCTGTATGGCTAACTCTCTTTCTCCCTCTCTCCCCAATCTCTCCCCTCAGCTTTTTATTACAGATAATCTGCACTCGCAAACCTTCCATTTTTCTGCAATTGTGCGATTCTTAATCATCTTTATTAGTCCATAAACATTGTTTTCTTTTTCCTATTTTTAGCCCTTTTTTATTGCTGAGGCTCTCGACTCCTTGAGGGGGCAACACGAGTTTCAAAATGATGATGAAGCTGGGATTCAGAGTCAGAGAGGCCTGCTGATAAGAGAGCAAGGCATTATGGGAATGGGGTAATAGAGTCCCTCACATCCACAAATACACATCCATGCTAATAGACATACAGATCCACACACACACACACACACGACAAAATGCAAGCACTCAGATTCTGCCAGGCCACATGTGTCTGATAATGAAATGACGCCTCTGATTGGCTGGCAGGCAGAATAATGGCCTGGATCCACGACACCTGTGGTGGGGTCCACAGCAGTGCGAGCCTGCTGACTACCAGCAAGCAGACCACAATGCATCAGGTGTGCTGGAGCCTCTGTGATTGGCTGTCCCTGGCCAGAAACAGCGTCAGGTGCACCAGCAAGCCTACCCTGATTGGTTGAGTCGAACCCAAAAAGCTGCGGGTGGGAAAGAGCTGTTTTTATTGGCTGCTGCTGCCCAGTGCTGCTGGTGAATGGGTGTCTGGCTGGATGGCAGTGGGACAACTGGGAGCGCTGACTATTTGAGAAAACCTTTTGTACATTTGTAGGTTTTCGTACCCCCAGAATCTCAGCATTAGCTATCATTTAACCTGACTTCAGGAAGAGCAACATAACACACATAAAACAAACAACCAAAAACCCCAACAACAATTGAACTCCAACAGTAGATAATTTGCTCTCATTTCATATTAACCATCCAACAAAGAGGAATTTAAACACCCACTTTATGTTCGCCAGAAAAACAGGTGTTGATGAACCTCAATCCTATTGTACAACAATGAATAACATGAAGCTAATGAATAGGCTAAGCTCTGTACCTGGCACTGGGGAGGCCAGAACATACTGATTCCCTTTGTAGTAAACCCCTAAAAAAAACTCCAGGGCCCCCAAACACTCTCTCCTGCAGCAGTGTATGAATTATATATTGTACTATATATATAGAACATATGCCCGGCCCATATGGCCAGCCCTGAGCGAAAAAATCTCAAAGCCCTGCTTAATTAACATTTTAGAGGGAAGATTCGGAGGCGGGAGATTGAGTCAGTGACCTATTTGGAGTCCATCATCGCCCAATGCAAATGTGTTAATTGAGACAGATTTTCCTACTTCACAAATATGTGGAGTAAGGGATGCAGTGGAGGATTTTTATTTATTTATTTGTCTGAGCCATCTGATCTAAGGTATCTGTATATGGTGTGTTTTAAGCTGCCTTTCTTTCTGCCTTCACTGACAAAAGAAGACACTTCTCTTTCCTTGGCTCACTCGCTCTCTCTTTGGATTTAGTGTTGACGACCATATGGCCAAATTCTTTGGAGGTGAGATCTCCGAAACCTGCTCTCGCACTGCACGTACACTCACACATGTACTTACAAACACACCTCTACAGAGCTTTGTGTATGAAAGGCCCTGATGGTGGAATTTGTTCTCAGGTGGCTCCATTTTAAAGCAAATGAATGGCATCATATCAATGATCCCCCCCCCCCCCAACCACACACACACACATCGCCCCACCTTTCCTCGCTTTCTGTCTCTCTGCATATCACATTAGCAGTTACACACAAAAACACACACTTGCACACTAATTCACCACCTACACATAAAAACTTACACTTGTCACACACCTGGTGCAGCCCTCTCCTTGTTTCCACAAAACCTTTATCCTGACCGCCCCACAATCATGAACCACAACCACTACCAGCACTGTTGATCCCGCTTTTTTCTTTTTTTTCTTTTTCTTTCTTTTAAAAAAACATGGTTATTATAACCACCATTGTGTCTCAACCATGTTTTTATCATCGTTATTTGGTGCCTGAAAAGCAACACTGCCAAGTTTAAGGCACAGGATGAAAATAGGGGGATGGGGAGAGGAAAACAGTCCAGCCAACCTGCGTGAGATGGCAACCACTTCAAAGATGCCAGGCCGCACCGGCGATCTGTTCCATGGTGTGTGAGGAGTGTATGAAAGGCAGAAATGGCCGCCGTGTGAGTCCCTGCCAAAGCTGCCTCGGGGAGAAACGTTGGAAAAATACGATTTTTCACACAGCCTTCTCAGGGGGGGTGACGAGAAAACAGGGAGGCTAAGAAAGAAGATGAGAAACCGAGGGGCTGCATTAAAAAAATGATGGATGGATGGCTGAGTAGAGTGGGGCTAATTATTTCACTCCACTCGTGAGTCCTGAAGGTTTGCTTGGGTCAGAAGTACAGCCAAGACGCAGAGCTGAAGATTGCATTTGGCTTAATTGTGCAGTTGTGTTTTACACAATAATACTAAATGTTGGGATCCTGGATAAGGCGGGAGGCACATCGTGTGAAAAGCGAGTCTGTTCAAGAGGCCTGACTGCTGGTGTATTAAAAAAATAGATGCCTCGAGTAAAAAGATATTTGACTTGTGTGAGAAATTCATACAAGCTGGTTTGCGGTTTAATTTAAAGGTGAGGTGAGGTGAATCACCTGAATGCCAGATAGATAGTGAAACTACGCCAGCATTGCTTTATTAAAAAAACATCTTTGTTGACCAAAACTGTTCGGTTAAACAGGTCTGAACAGAGCGCTCATTGTGACACACCCCAAGATGCACTTGGCCTGGCAACTTGCCTGTCAACTACTAATCTTGCTAGGCAGGATAGGCTATGGCTGTGGCCTTATGATAATACCATGCCAGTTGTAACACTGAACTGAACCAGCAACATTTCACTGACACACTTGCTTGCACCAAACGCCCCCTTGGCACATTAAGTAACCCAATGCCACTGGCACCCTTCTTTGTACATGGGTCCTTATTCATTCTCTTATTTGAAGGTCCAAACCACATTCAACTAAGGTCTAGCTACTCTGGTTAATGCATTTAACAATGAGGTTTGGGCTGGGACAATCAACCCATTGTGTCACACAAGGACTGATCCGTGGGGAGATTTTCTTGTGGTTATGGTTCTAATACAGTAGAGTTTACCACAAAGACCGGGAAGCATGGAGTTACACACACACACACACACACACACACACACACACACACACACACACACACACACACACACACACAATGTGACTCAAGGAGGCAGCGCGTTGAGCTCATTTCAAATGTCTCACCCACTTCCATCTTAACTGAAATGGTACTTTGAAAATGTATTTAATAATCTGGTAAAAGGTTTACGCCCACCTCCCAACTTGGCACCAATAAGTTTCTTGACTTTTATTTGACTGACAGCTTCTGTGGTTGGCACGTTTTCTCTGCAACAACCGCAGCGCAACCAACTGTGAAATTATAGGCCGAGAATCAAAACAAAATGAGCATCGTATTATCACTGCCAATTACGAACAATTGTCTAATGTTTGGCTTACCTTAAGATATATAGACAGATAATTGGAAAGCTGACATCAGAAGACACATGCGGCCTAGAATTTGACATCTTGAGCATCTTGGGGCCTGTCTGTGTTGTTGTTTAGCAGGTATGACTGTGAGTCAGGGCAGCTGGGGCAAGAAAAAGTTTTTGGTAGGTGACCCCCTCGATGTCACGTAAGGCTGACATTTATAACCCATAAAAAAACACGTGACAACGTGTGGGCTATGCGCCCTTCATGTAGAGAGCAATCAGGGTGCTCGTGCAAAGTTGGCAGCCGATGATAAATGTGCAAAAAGTGAATGAACACTTCTGCTAATGCTCTTTAAAGTAATGCTGCATATACAGGCAATATTTGATCATGTCAGTGACCGCGAATCTATATATCTATCTATATATAAATATATAGATAGATATATATATGTGTGTATTATTTTTAAAGTGTTTTTGTTATGTATACTCACTCAGTATGATAAAGAGACAGATCTGTAATTATCCGAGTGCCAAGTTTATACATTTTTTCCCCTCCTGTATCTTTGGTGCTTATCATTTGTGAGATTCCGTGTGCATTCCCAGAAACATTATAATCAGATACGGTTTCAGTCTAAATAAACTCTCACTGTTTTATTTCTAAGGATTGACTGTTCTAAAACAGGTCTCAAACTTTCAGGAAGGTAGATGAGTATTTGTGTGTAACAGCATCGATATTTGAGGTGAAGACGTGTGAGCAAGAGTAAGAGGTAAGAGTTATATTACAGGATTGTAATAGTGAGATACTGGAACATATCGGATGATCTACAAAGTATTTCACAGTGCAGTCTGTTATTTCTATGTTGCAGTAAACAACCATCACTATCACCTTAAAATACTTCACAGGTTTAGCAAATTTAATCAGAAATCTATGAGTAAAAATAGCTTAAACAAAATACCAAAAATAATGGAATCTTCTGCTTCAATCTCTTAAGTTGATTTAGCAATGATAATGCTGCATTTTTATTAGGACATTTTAAAACGTAAAGCTTTGAGTTAATAGAGATCACGTAAAGCTGATGGTCACAGCCTTGCATTTTCAATATTGCTGTAGCAGTTTTAGAGAAGATATTGATGATAAAATCTGATATTTATCTCCAAATGCTGCTGGATTTAGAGAGATAATGAGCTCATCGTCATCATCCGATTTTCAGATCAATATTAAATGCTTCGGAGGTGCTCTAATTTATGCTACTTGCTCTTTCTGAGGACTCTCAGCGCTTGTTCTGAGGGCACAAAGATGGTCTGTGTGTCACCTCACCTCCCCACCCCCTTGTAGTCGCTATAAAGTGTCATCAGCTACGCAAATGAAGTGCCCATTGATAAAAAAGAGCAGCCGCCTTCTGATAGAAAAGACTCGAGTCGGCGAGTGCAAGGTGGAGTAACGCGCGAGAGTCGTGCGCCACGTTAATTTATTGCGATTCTTAGGGCATAATAATAACCAGTACAGCAGTAATAATCGTCCACACACGATCACTGTGCGAGTCTTTAAGATTTACCTTTGCTTTTATTTTGTGTGACTTTAGCAGCAAAGATCAGACTCTGTCTACAGGGCCACTCGATGCACGTTAACGCGCCAGAAAGGAGAATTGCACTGATTTAAATGTGGAGAAAATTAATTTTGAACACATGCCATGCACATAATTGTTACAGCTGCAGATATTTGAGAGCACTGTGGGAGAAATTTCACGAAAAAGAACTGCAACAAAAAAGTAGCTTATTGTTAACAAATAAATGAAAATCACTTTGGTCATAAAATGCACGGAGCTGTAGGAAAAACAAGGCAGTGTGTGAGAATAATATTTAACACTCAGCGCTCAGTACTGAATGTTTATTCAATCGCGGCTCATTTAGACGCTTTGTAATTACATTTGGCAGACAAACGAGTTGAGTTACTTTTACATCTGCACGCGCGCATACACGCACGTGCACAGGGACGCACACAGGTGTGTTGTGGCCCAGAACTCTAGCACCAAATCCATCCGCAACAAAAGTTCTTTACAAAGAAATTAGAGCCCTGAAATAAGTGCAAGCATGTTTTGTTTATTTCCAGCCCTATAGACTTTACCCTATAGAGCCAACAGAAAGGAACTATTGAGTTACACAGCACGTACCATTATAGCGTGGGGAGATCTGCCAACCCTCTCAATGCCCCATTTTCCTTTAAAAGTTCAGCTTCCAAAAAAGTGAGAGAGGGAGTGAGAGATGAGGGAGGAAGACTTAGTCTCTTCGCTGTTGCCGGAAGCAAAAAAGGACCTTTAAACACGTCGGCTTTAGGCCCAGATAGAGAAAAAAACACGCTCTTTCAAAAGTCGGTCCACTCTGAAAGCGATAGAAGGAAACGAAGACACCAGCTCCGAGCCTTCCGTCTACCGCTGTTTGGCGTCAGATGCGCCCATGTCCCGCAGAAAGAAGTGAGGGAGACGTCTGCGTCTAAGTCCCGAGGTGCGTCCTTCGGCGGCAAAACTCCAGCAGACTGGGAGATGCTAAAAAAAAAACCCTCCCCGAATTAATACTGATAATACGGGTTTAAAAAAAATCAAAAAAATAACCCAAAATAATAATGGACGGGAGAAGTGACGCAGAGTAAGTTTTGTTTCTATTATTTTTCCGTGTGCAGCCTTTGCGGTCGATCAGCTTCTGTGTCCAAAACGTGTCCAAAAGCAGCTGTCTCCTATGCCGCGCGTCCGATCTGTTTTACCCTCGTATCTCTCTCTCTCTCTCCTCTCTCTTGATCCGAACGCACACAAACACACGCAAGCACACGCACGGAGTTACACGCAAACGGGGGGGACACCCCTGGTCCCTCGCCGCCTCCTCCTCAAAGCTGACGAGATGAAAGAGCAGCTTGCGTCGTGCCTCTTCAAATCGCTACAGCCTCGCCGATAGAGGAATGCCTGTACAGCGATACGTCGTCGGTCGCGGCTTCGGCGGGGCTCTGGATGCCTCGGTGCGTAAAAATGGAAGCTCGCCGTGCGCTCCGGCAGCGATAGATTGCCTTGCTCTTCCCTCCCTCCCAAAATATCAGCCACTAAATAGCTCACCTCAGCAGCATGCGCCCTGTTTACACGCACATACACAAAATAATAGACGGGGAATTGGGGCAGTTGTTTACAGTGGGGGGCCGGTGCTTCAGGCGGCAGCGTCGAACTGGTGAATTATTAGGTGAATTATTAATAAAGCGAGCGGTGTGCAGTCTGTCGCGGAGAGAGCGGAGCGGCCAGGAGAGCAGCTGGGGCTTTAGGAGCATTAGGAGGACCAGAGGCTAAATCACGGGCTGCAGGGATTAGAGAGCTGCGCCGGCTCCTACCTACCGCCTGAAGTTTGCAGAGTGACTCTGTGGGGACGGCCGAGCGAGAGCAGAGCTGCTCGGTTTTTATGTGTGTGGTGTTTTTTTTTTTAATGTTTACAACCCAAGAGCAAAGATCGGGCCACTAAAGGATGATATGTTATTTTAATGACAACCTGGCCATAGATATAAGCTGTGCTCTGTGTGTCCACGCATCTGATAATATAAAAAAGGGGGAAAAGTCAGCTGTCATTTACTGAGCAGCCAAGCAGGACCGCTTTCCTCAATCCCAAAACTTACTTTGTTTGATTTCCATCAATATCTGTAGCACTAAGGGTATTTTGCATGTGACTGTCAGGATGTGACGCTGTGAAGCAACAGGATCAAATTCTCACCAACATGATTTTAAAAAAAAAACAAACAAAAAAAAACAACACTCTCTCCACTTTACCAAAAAGCAACCACGTGTTTTAAGAAACTGTTTATTGCTCCAGAGATTTTAAGGACAACGGCCAGATCCAGCAGGCCTGCCACATAAGACACTTGGTGCACGTGCTTTCTGATGTCAAGTTTCAATTTAAGAAAGTTTCTTCTTCTTTTAATGTAAACTTGGATACATCACCTGGAACAGATTTTGATTCAAATGAAATTGGCCAGGAGAATTTGTGGGGACACCGTGGGGCCTAAAGGACATAATCTAAGAATGAAAAAGTCACTTTAAAAAAAGCAGATAAGAGTGATTTAAAAATAAACTCTGGAGAAAACAAAAATATCTGGAAGATTTTGTGCAGATTTGGTCACTCAACCTGTTCACACGCCAGTCACATTCAAAACTTGGCCGTTTCTTGTTTCATACTCAACCTTCGGGCTTTCCTCTACAGTTAGAAACGGCTGGTTCAAATCAAAGCAACAAACTAAACATTTTCGTTGTTGCAGATGAATCTGATACACATCGTCTGGATAAATCAGAATTTGGCCTTATTTCTGCTTTTATTTTCAGCTGTGCGTGTGGAGTTATCTGCCTCTCTTCTTTAGAGAGAGAGAGAGAGGGGGGGGGGGGGGGGGGGAACAGCCTAATGACATTCCTCCAACATGAGGGTTTATAAATAATTAAACGCTGACCTCCCCACACATTTGGCCACATCAATTAATCATCTCTAAATGAATTTGTTTTTGTTTCAGCATAATTTCGATTATTCGGTTTGCGTCTGTGGCGGGATGACATGTGCGGGGTTGTTATTGTTGTTATTATTGTTTAGAAACGGAGGCCCCTGTGGCCCAGTTACCCAACAGCAGGGAGATACGAACAAGTGTCGTTTTTATTTGTTTTTCTGTAGTTTTAATTTTGTTTTAATACTGGAGACAACCAAGACTGACCAAAATATGACGAGACTGAGCAGAAACCACGTAACCTAACACTTAGTAGGTCAACAATTTATCGCCTCCTTTAATTGATACAAGGACCTGTATTACAAACACATTTTCCTTTTGTTTATCATAAAATTATTTTTATGGAATTATTTTGAAAAAGAGGGAAAAAAAATGACTAGGCCTTCAAAATGTTGACCCTCACTCTCTCTATTATTTACATATTTCTGACATTTTTAATTCAATGATAATTTTGTTTAAATAACTAATAGGATCTTATTTGTTTAGGCATAAAACAAACTGCAGGTAGACGTCGAGGTAAGCGATTACTGGTAAGTTCAACAATCAGATGAATGATTGGCTTGAATACTAAAGTTGGTGAATGACTTAAAGTATGAAAGAGGAGTAGGAGCCTGCACAAATAATAATAACAATAATGACGATGATAATGAGTATAACAATGATACTATTATTATTAATAATAATTCCTAATGTTACATTAACATTTTTATTAATTGATTGAATGACAGAGGCTTTCTACCTCAAGCGTCTTGTTAAGTTTCACAGTTTGTACCTTGAACTTTCCCAATACTTTATTTATTTACTTTTAATATTAATTCTGGTCTCTCTCTCTCTCCCCTTCTTCTTCTTCTTCTTCTTTTTTTTTTTTTTTACAGATGCTGAAGCCCACACATGCCCAACGGCCTGGTTGGAGAGTGACCAGTTAATTGGAAAAACACCAAACTGTGCCTCTAAACCCCAAATAATCCCACAACACGGTTCCCCCCCCTCTTTTTTCTTAACTCTTAATTAAAGTACAAATAACAGCACAGTGAGCGCGCACTGTGTACTCAGCACAGCCCACTGTAGCCCGGAACTTACCGCAGGCCCACAGAAACTTCTACAAGCTTCAGGTAACGAATCTGCTTCCGGAAAAAAAGAAAAGAAAAAATGAGATGATAAAAATCGAAAGGTGTTTTTGTACTAGCAATAATAATAATAATAATAATAAAAAATCACGTAGCTTTGTTTTAAAGCTGTTTAGTGAAAATCGTTGGAAAAATATTAACAAGACATCAAGACAGGTGTTTTAATCAACAACCAGGTATTTGAGGGGAAAAACACCGTAAATAAAACAAGAGATTAAAAATCCGAAAAAAACGTAAAATCAAAACACTATAAAATTAAAGTAAAAATATGGCATAAATAAAAAACATAGATGGGGGAAAATCCACAGGTATTTAAAACACGGAATCTCTGAGGACGCTGAAAAAACGAGAAACTGAAACTTTAAATACCCCCTTCGTTTTCTTTAGATGTACATTTCCGCTTGAAATTTCAAAGGCAGAATTACACCTGCATTATAAAACGGAATGGTTTTAATAACGTAAATAACGTCGACAGTATTACACGGAATTATACATCTCAAATTGTTTTCTCAAATAAATAAAATCCACAAAAACAAAAAAATAAATAAATAAAAACGCAAAAAAGTCCGATGGCCGTCGCAAAAACATTGTTTAAAATGTAATAATTAAAGCTGATAAATATAACACAGAGGCAAAACTGCATGTATTTGTTTATTAATGTGTCATAAATAATAATTTATACTTCTTCCTCCTGATGCTGAGGCACCATATGTTTAGCAGTTGACCTGGTTTCAACATTTCCCATGTTTTTCTTACAGTCCTGATTTATAATAAAAAAAAAGGCGAGGGGGCTGGGCAGCTGGTCTTATTTTAATGTGAGGCCCTTAAAACTGTTTGTGTTTTTCCAGGTATTTAAATATTAAGCTGCGTTTAGTGGAAACAGGCAGTGCGCTAATAAAGAGAAGATTATTTGTCATTAAAACAAAATACAAGAAGGAGGAGAAGTCTCAGAAGACTTAATGCCTTCCTCTGATGTTTCTTGGAATAGAACATTAAAAAAAAATATATTTAGTTGATATGCCTCAAAAGTTGAAGGACATTTGTTGGCTTTCACTAGTCCTAATCATGCGAGGCAACTTATGAGCATCAATTAGGCTGAGATTTGAGCTAATGAAAGCCCTGAGCAGTGAGTCTCACCACAACCCCCTAAACCAGCCATTACTGCAGACCACAATGGCTCTGATAGCACGCTGTTTTAAGACCCAGCATTATGTGGGCAATAAGTTCTCTAAACCTCACTGCGAGAAAAGAAGGGCACATTGTGGGATCAGGCAAGCAAAGTTTAGACAACATAGAAGGAGTTTTTCTAAGTCCAAAATGCTTGTCTGTAAACCCCAAAACGAATCAGGGGAATTTTTTTCTTCTTCTTTTTACTCCAAATGACAAGTTTCACATTCCAAGCTGGAATATAACTGCAAACCATGATTGACACGGACAAAACTAATTATCAGAAGAACACTAATGCTGAATGAGACACGGAGCTGCTCAGTGGATGGCACTGAGATATTGTAAATATTCACTCATCAGTGATGGACTTGGTGTCATTACATGTTTGCAAGATTAGAGGCACGAAATACAAGGCAGAACTGGAGTTTGCCAAACAGAGCGCACTGCCAAACTTCAATCAACAGGTACACACTTTATTGAAGAAATTACTAAATACTGAGGTGTATAATGAAGGGGAGACGGGGCGTGCTAGGGAAAAACCTGAAATATCCTTTAAGCATTTAGAAAGAATCATCTCTTTTTAAGCAATTCAGAAAACAACCCAGCAAATCTGTGTCTGTTTATGTGGTTCTCTTTCTGGCCCCCAAACTAAAAGCTCAAATAACTCACATTTGTCAAACGTAATGGCCCAAAAAACACAGAAGCTGATTTATCTAATCTGAACAAGTGTGGCAGAAAGGCATTCACCAAATCTATAACCACTATAAATAAAGGAAAAAGAAAATGGAGAAAACAATGCAAACAAAACTGTGAGCTCAGTCCAATAGCTTCAGCAGCTACTGCATGTATAATTCTACTAGTAAAGATCACACGCAGCTATGTTTGCAAAGCCACACATGACCGCTATAAAGAAACAATCAAACAAAGTATATATAGCAACACTGAAAAAAAAGAAGATATAAGAAACCAAATCTGGGATCTATAATGGTGCCAGAAGGAGTGGACTGCACATCTACACAGAAATGGCAAATACAAACCAAAGGCCCGAGTCGTGCTGCCTTTCTTCTTTTTAAACCACTTCACTCTGACTCTTGACTGCAGCACTACTGACATCTACTCCCAGCCTGATCTCACCGCCGCGCGCTGCAGTGAAAGCTAAACAAAAATATACCCTGCATCGAGGCCATACATCAAACTCAAGCTGGAACTATCATTTTTCCCTCTCTGCAGTCTTTATTCCTGTCCCTGCTGAAAGAAAAGCCTCGCAGAAATCTGCATCTCCAAAAGTGCAGTAAGCGG